TATTTTTAAAAAATTATTTTTAACTTCAACACATAGTTTTTTTAAAAATAAAAAATATTAAATTTAAAATAAAAATAAAAAAAAATTAAATTCTTTAAAATACATTTTTAAATCACAAAAAGATGCTAATATTTTTTATTCAATGTAGATGCTACATGTTTATAAAAAGTCTCTTTCATCCATGGCATACTAGTCAATCAAATTGAATCAATGCTTATCAAGTGGCCATTCATATATTGGCCAACGTGCTCTAGGTTCCCGTGAACTTTTGATGTCTTTTTCATACAAGTGACCCTTCATGGTATATATATATATATTCCCCTAAAATTACAACTACTCTTACAAGTTGGTTTCGATTATTAAAGACTATTTTTTAATAAATAAACAGTAATGAAGTTTAAGTTGCAATAAAAGAAGTGTTTTTTTAAATCACTTTTGCTAAAAAAAATTAATTGTAGAAAAATGTTATTGTAAATTAAAAAGGTGTTTCAGAACTACATTGTATCAAAATCTTTTTTTTTTCTAGATAATCTCAAAGGAAAAAACCACTTGTATTATTTTAATGCATTACATAAAATAATTTTTGGTTGAAGGTTGCTTGAAAATCTAAACTTTTTTTAAAATTAACTAATCCTTTTTGTATTCAAATACAAATAATCTTAAGAGGTATTTTTGTTTATTGATACCATTTGAAAAATTTTTTTTGGCTAAATAACATATATACAAAAAGTTTTGATGAGATAACACAATTTAATACATATCACAATTGAAAAATATGATATTTCATATAAATTATTAAATGAACAAGCACGAATCACAATGAGAAGAGATGAGAAAGAAAAGGATAAAGAAAAAAAAAAAATAAAATGAGAGAGATTTAAGAGACACATTGAAGCTTTGATTATGGTGCAACCTATACAATAAAAAAAATGTTGACAAGATGAATCCAATGACATCAAGAAATGTCACTAATAGTGATCAGAGTGGATCACACTCTTCATCCAAAGACCAGTGAATAATTAGAATAAGAAGAGAAAAGAAAAGAAAAAAGAAAGATACTCTCAAAGGCACGTCGAAATTTTAATTATGACACCACTAGTACCATAAAAAATATCTCGACAAGATAAATCTAATGATATCAAGGAATGTCACCAACGATGATCAGAGTGCATCATACATGACAAACAACTCACTTGTCTTTTGCGAAGAGTGTAGCTCACTCCAATCATTATTAGTGATAATATTAATAGCATCATAATTGAAATTTTAATATGTCTTCGAGATTTTTTTTATATTTTATTTCTCTCTTCTTTATTCTTAACTTGATTTTTACCTACTTTAATTTTTTTTAATATTCTATTATTTTCATCAGTGATATTTTAAGAAGTGTTTTTCAATTGGAAACATGTATAAAAATTTATTAATTGGCTAGAATTTGTTTCAATGTGTTATTTAACTTGTTTTTTAACAATACTTAATTTAAAAAAATCTTAAGCAAATACGAGTAGGGATGAGCAATAAAACTTAAAAACCAATTAAAAAGAGAAAACAAAAAAAAATAACCGAAAAAACCAAACCGTGAAAAAATCAATCCCGATTAAAATTTAAAAAAAAACTGACCGGTTTGGTTTGGTTTTATAAGCCTGAAACTAAAAAAACTAAACTAAACCAAACTCAAACAGAAAAAACCAAACCAAACCGAAAAACCAAGCCAAAACGAGAAAAACCGAGCCAAATTGATTTTTTTCTAAAAACTAAATCAAACTGAAATTAGTTTGTTTGAACTGATTTTTATTCAATTTATTTTTTTTTTAAATTTTAATTTAATTATTTTTTCATAAAAATTAAATCAATTGAAAATTAATTAGCCCTAGCAAATTGCATCCAGATATCTTAAAAGTACATTATTACATCATCAAAAACGTTATCAGAAACGTCATTTTCCATTAATTCGAACTTTTTATTGCCCAATTTGCCTATGTTGATAATTATACACCAAGTCACCGACATGTACCTTTTCTTCCTTTCTTTATCAATTATTTCTTTTTCTAACTCTTTTGATACAGTTCTTTTGCCGCTATATAAATTCACAGCTCTTATTACAGTAGCATTGAATCAGAACCTTTTTTTTCTTGTATGAGGGAAGTAAAGAGAGTGAAGAAATGAGTGAACGCAGCCCGCCAACAGCTGCAGGCAAAGGTTATGTCATGCCCGCCTCAACTTCCTTTGCTAAACACCCGCTGCCACGGGGGCAGACCAAGAACAAGTTATTACTCGGGGTACTCCAATTCTTATCAGCGTCATCAAGCTCGAAAAAGTGAAGGCTTTTGAAATAATTGAAAGAATGGGAGACGTCATTTTCTTTCAATTGATGGAAATTTCCCTCTGTAGCACTATGTAATAAAAATCCATGGGCTTCATGGGTTTTGTCTTTCAGGAAGGTAGGATGCCTTGTAATATGTAATTGTTTCGTCATCGAGTTTCGGCTTCGTCTCCCTCGACTTGCTCTTGCTATTGCTATACTGTCTCAGCTTTTCTCCTTGGTTGCTTTCTTTATCCCTCTGTTGCACTATGTATTAAAAATCCATGGGCTTCATGGGTGTTGTTTTTCAGAAAAGTAGGATGCCTTGTAATATGTAACTGTTTCGTCATTTAGTTTCGGCTTCGTATC